CGCTCCCCGATCCCATCGAAAATTGCCAGCCGTCCGACGCTGGCGGCACGAGGGACAGAGTCCCGAGAGAGGGCCTTCGATATTCGAGGAGAACGAAGGAAGGCGGCGAGACCGACTGGCTCGCGAGCGCGGCAAAGAGGCATCGGCACCGTCAGAGTCGCCAGAATTCGAAGACAACCAGTCGTCGGTCAATCGAATCCGCGGCGGAGATACGCTCGGCCAGCGCACGAGAGAGAGCTCAACACGGGGCGATCCGACTACCGTTGGCAGGGAGATGCGGCAGACAAGGGAGTGGCCGAACACCTCGCGGTCGACTTCGGAAGTCGCCTTGTCTTCTCGACCTCGGGGCGACCGATGCCGCGCATGCAAGGCCCCATGGCCGGCGCCCCCTCTTCGCGGACACGGAACGGAACATCGAGAAGTTGTGCTTCGAGCGAGCAAGAATTCGACGCGCGGAAAGAAATTTCCGATGATTTCTGCGCGAGCGGTCCCGGTCATCTGGCCGATGAATATTTTGTTTGCTGCAGTGAGCAATGGCATCGGTCGATGTCCCCACGCAGCTCGCAGGTGAGCGGGCGCGCGCGGTCGGCGCCATTCGGTCGACGCCCATTGCCGATTAGGTCCCCCGCGCCAGCGGGCGCGCCCACCCAGTTCCCGCGCCCGCGGAGGCGCCGGGGCGATCGCCCGGGGAGGCGAACGTTTTTCGCGTCGCCATTTGCTTTCCTGTTTGCGCCGCCATCGGCGCCATTCGAGAAGTCGACGGCGGAGCTCCGCGACGAATGAACGACTGACCATTGCCGCGGAAGAAGGCGCGCTCTTTGCGAGGGGCAGGGGAAGATGACCACACCGCTGCTGCCCACCTGGCGCGGGCCCCGGAGCTCGAACGACGCCAACCTGCGGCTTGCTCCCCATTTATGGAAATTTAGAAGAGCGGTTCAGAGGTTCCCGAATTATGCAAGGGCGACTCCGCACAGCGTCGAATACGGATTCGCCATGATTGTGCGGCATCCAGAATTTGTTTCTTGACGCGAGTCCAAACTCCCAGAATTTTAGCCCATGGATGTCTTCGCTTCGGATTTTGCGGATCTCGAGAGGGCAGAAGACTTCGATCCGCTGAATGGCGACTGTAGCGCGCGGTCCGGCGGGGCGAACGCCGGTCTGCTGCTCGCGAAGATAATCAGTTGGGCCCGCGCTGCGAAGCGCGATTGGCGCGGCAAGTTGCAGCTCCTCCAAAGAGGAAGGCAGGTTGGTCTCCCGTTCATTGCCGTTCGCGGCAGGATGCGCAATATCGACGCGGCGTTGGCCGAGGCGGCAAGCATCGCGCCCAACCGCGCTACGTTTCTCAGCAGAACGCGCGTTGCCGAGTGCGGAAAGATAAATTGCACACCCAGTTGTTTGCCGCTGGCCTGCCCGGGGCCTTCCATCTTTGGACGAGAGAGAGAGAGAGAGGGAACGCCACTATGGCAACTATCATTGACGCGGCGGCTGCGGCCGAGAATCCCACAGGGGCGGAGCAAGGTTCCCGGAGGCATCTGACCGCGACAGCGGTGCATGGGCATCTGCCCGGCACGGGCCAGCGGTCTGGGACGGCCAAGTAGCTGGTAGAAGAAGAGTCGGATCGCGACCGCGCGGCTAGAACACGGCGCGAGCCCTGGGCGCCAGGAGACAGAGAGTGGCACGCACGGAAAATCGTCATTGCCATTATGGAAGTTCTTCGCGCATGCGCCAATTGTGTAGCTGCGCGCAATGGAGGACAGGTAGATCATATGGTCCGCGACCATGTTGCGATCCAGGTGCAGGAGCTGCACGATGAAAGGTGGATTGGCGAACCCGCTGTGAAAATGCATTCGCCGATGGACCACGGGATTTCGCCCCGCTGAAACGGGGGATTCAGCGGAGGAGCGATCCATCCTTCTCGCGCAGCTGCCAGGTGTCTCCTGGCCACTCTAAGCGAGGACCGGTGCCCCGACGATGCTGACTCGTCAGCGGACGCGAGAAGGAAGAATGAATCAAACGTAAAACGAACACCGCGCGTGGTTTACCACGATGGCCGTTCTGCTTTCCTGAAATGGGGAGTCAGTCTTCGACTGCCCATGCCGCCGCGGCGTCGGCGGCTGGCAGGCCCGCGCTGCTTCTGCCTCCACCGGCGGAGGCAGGCGCGAAAAGGAGCAGCGAAATCTGCGAGCTTGACGACGCCCCCGCCAGACACACGGCGGCCCGTCCAAAACGGCAGGAAGGCAGGGACGCGACACAAGCAAGGCCAGGGGCAGCTGAGGACGGGGCGCACTTCAGGCCGGCGACCGCTGGGGAGACAACGTCAGCGAACAGACGGCATCATCGCCGAAACTGGCAGCGTTGGAGGCGGCGACTTGACTTCGAGCGGCAACGGCAAGCACCGCGAAGCTAGCAGGGCCAGCGATGGCAGCGGGAGCTCAGGGGGTGAATCATTCGAACATGAAAGTAAAGACGAGTTTGGAAATGAGAAGGACGAGTCTTGAGAAAGTCCGGGAAGTAGAGCGGCGAGCGCGGCACGTCTTCGCGGGCGTTAGGCCCAGAGAAAAAATTAAACAAGAAAGACGGGCACGACGGCTGGAATAAAGACAATCGAGGCCGTCGCGAGTCGTGCAGGCATCCGCGTCATGTCGCGACCAGCGCTGGGGCGCCCCGCGGGCCCGTTGTAGAAATGAAGGGCCCGTCGAGCGGCAGGGCCTTCGCCTCTGCGGCGGGAGCACGCGCTGCGCTGAAGGTGAGCGCCGTGAGATGTTCTGGGGCCCGGTGCTCCTGGGCGCAGCGCGCGGAAGGCCGGAGCGCGCGGAGGCGCGGCCCTCCGCGGCGCCCGACGCCGGGGGGAGTCGATGGATGTCATTCCTGCAAGAACGGTTTTTTGAAGGCAGATCTGCCTTCAAAAGATGGTTTTTTGAAGGCGGATCTGCCTTCAAAAAAACTGGTCTGCTCTGTAAGAACGGTTTTCTGAAGGCAGATCTGCCTTCAAAAAACCGTTCTTACAGCGTTATTTTATCATCCATCCGCCCGCCAGCGCGGGCGTCCAGCTCAAGCCGTCGAGGTCTTGTCAAAGGGGGAGATGCCAGTGCCGACTGCGAGGCGCTGCTGACGCTTCGGTCGTTGGAACAGGGAGCACGCGCTGGCCGCGCGCGCTGCCGCCATGTCAAAGGCCACCGTCGGGAGACAGCTCCTGTGCAAGACCCCTGCGAAAGGGGCCTGCCCCACTGAGCTGAGAGGAGATGGAGCATCGCATGCGGCATGATGTTTCGCAGGTGCGGTAGAACATCCAACCAGAAACAGTTTACCCTCATGGGGCCACCTCGGGGCCTGAAAAGCCCAGTGAAGATTGCACAGGCTGGAAAAAAACAAACCGGCAGCGGCAACAACTCAAGCATTTTACGAACGTTCGATCTCCACGTGCCATGCAATATGCACACCCCAAACCCTCGATACCCGCCATTTTCGTCTTCGATCGTACCCCCCCTTGGGGCGCACATGTTTCGAATTGCCACGTGTAGTTGGCGCAGATCCGAATGCAGGGGAACGCGGAGAAGACGAAAAAGACCAAGGGGGGGAAAAGGATGGATCACGATTGAGATTGGCATTAAGTCGGGCATGTCCCCCTCTACAGGAGGACCTTTCAAAAATGGTCAAAAAATAGTCGTGGGGACGATGCTTTCAGCACGTGTTTGCTTATATTTGAATATTTGTGGTGTATGTTTGATGTTTCGTCCCAAATTCCCCTGTCGGGGGACACGCCCGATCTAAGACTAGCAGGGGGGGTGTCCAGAGCAGGGAAGCAAACGGCAGGACAAGGCGGGCGGGCCGGGCAGGCGAACCCCAGCGAGCGGGCTGGGCGGGCGGGCCGGAACGGCCGGGTCGAGCGGGCTGAGAGTGAATGGGGGGCGCGGGGACGTCGGCAGTCTGAACGGTTCTGGAGAAGCCCGCCGCTGGCGCCTAATCTTTGCGAGTTGTGCAACGAGCCCGCCGCAGGCGCCGACTTCTTTCGTCAGAGCATCGTCGCGGGTCGGTCGCTGGGCGGGTCGCGGTGTGGGTCGCGGGCGGGTGGCGGGCGAGGACGACGACCATAATAACAGAAACATAAGCATAAACATACATATCAACAGTAACACTAACAACAGCAACAACCACAACAACATCCACCACAACAACATTCATGGTAAGACAGTTCGTTCTTATCTGTTCGCGTGCCGTTCAACATTTAGATTCCACCATCGATACCCGCCCTGATCGTCTTCGATCGTACCCCTTTAGGGATCTATCTGTCTTATCTGCAACGTGTATTCCGTGTAGCCCCTAAGGCAGGGACAGAGAGGACGGATGGAAGGAAGGGACAAGAGGCAGGCGGGCTTATGAAGCTTGCGTCCTGAATGGATCGCGAGGAAGTCTCGAGCGATAGCGCGATGCCCAAATAAAGCGTGCGTGAGGAAATCCATTCCTATATAAATTGTGTGGAAGTCCCGCGCGAGCGCGCGATTTGGGAGTAAATCGTGAGGAGATTTCAAGCGAGAGCCGTTGTTGTAGTTTTGGGCCCAACTATTTAGTTTGGTGACCCCACATTTTCCTTGTAGAAAACTGGGTGCGTCTCCCCAGGAGACGCACTTTAATTGAACATATACAACGGTTACCGGAGGGGGGATAATAATCATTCTTTAGAAATGAATGTTCAACACAACAGCAACGCAACGACAACAATCCAAAACGGATACCCAACCAAGGAGGGTTGGGAACAAAATGGAGACCGGGGGGGTCAACCGTAGTTGTTTGAATGAAATGCGATATCAATACAAACAACCACGAACAAAACGTTTCTTTGTGTTTATTGCTTTATCCAAAAGCATCCGCGGGGAGGCTATTCATGCATCTTGGGATGCCCTGCGCGGGTTTACATTATGCGAACGTCTAACTTGGCAATGCCCAAGGTGCCTGCGTGAGGGATCCAGCACGCCTGTGGCCCGTTGGGCTGGTGAATTTAGCGAGGTGCGGGAGTCCAAGCTAGAACCAGATGTCATCAGCTACAATGCTGCAATCAGCGCGTGCAAGACAGGCGGAAGATGGGAGCTGGCGCTATCGCTGCTCGGCGAGTTGCTGCAGTCGTTGCTGGAGCCGGATACGATCAGCTACAGTGCTGGGATAAGCGTGTGCGAAAAGAGCGCGGAGTGGGAGTGGGCTTTGTCTCTGCTGAGGGAGATGCGGGAGGCGGCGTTGGAGCCCAACGTCAATGCTGACAAGCCGTTGGAATAAAGCGGTCGTGGCGGAGGGGGCGCGCTGGATGGTGGGACGGGTGCCCAGGAGGTGCGTTGGCTGGCGGTAGGGGGCCACATGCGAACCCTGCCCCTACCCCCCACGACTTCTGAGGGGGAGGGTGGGGTTCACTTCGCTCGGGAGCTCTCGAGCGAAGGGAACCCCACCTTCCCCCTCAGAAGTCGTGGGGGGTAGGGGCAGGGTTCGCATGTGGCCCCCAAAGGCGGACTCCCTGCGCTGGCTGGTGGGGGGAGGGGTGCGGAGGGCCGAGGGGGCTGCCTCGGCACGGCTGCCTCGGAGAGTGGACGCGGAGGGGGCGCGCGCTGGGCGGTGGGGGCCCGGGGGGCTGCCTCGCGGATGCCGTGCCGAGATGAAAGTCGTCGGAGCTCTGGACACCTCGGGCAGGAGAGCGAAGAAGAGCTCGAGCTTCTCGTGCGCCCAGGCGCCTTCGGCGCCAAAGAGGGGCCTCGCTCCGTGTTCGGAGTTCTTCATGGCAGCGCGATGGCTTGATATTCGTATATTGCCAGACGCGGCGTATGCGAAGACACGCGGGTCGGGTCGAGATGCAGTCGCCGATATTGGGAAGAGGAATAGGAGGAGCGGGAGGAGGAAGAGCAGGAGGAGGGAGGAGGAGGGAAGAGGATGGCGGAGGAGGGGAACTAGGGGTGCCTTCTTCGGCGGGGTGAGAACGATGAAGATAACGATGATGAGAAGGTGGAGGCGCAACAGCAGCAGGACCTCGTAGACGGCTCCGGCCGTTGTGTTCGGAAGAGCCTCTGGGGCAGCCTGACAAGTGGTTCTCGCCGCCGTTCTGGGCTTTCTTGAGGCTGACTGAGTGACGCCCAGAACTTAATTATATCTCAAGTGATCACAGGCTGCGGGATGACCTGTGGTTGCAATGTGGATGGAGGGGGAACGAGTAGCAGTAGCAGGAGGCGGGAGACGGAAAGGAAAGGCAGAAAAGACAAGGACGAGGAATAATGATAATAAGAGGAAGAAGAAAACAACAAAACCGGAGGCAATTATCATAAGGGGGACGAGGAGAAGGAAGAGCAACAGGAGAAAGGGTACGCGGAGTAGGAGGTAGTACGTACGTTTCTTGGTTCTCGTCGCTGAGACGAAGTATCTCTTGGGGTCGCCCGAGCGCCTCTCCTGGCCCAAACAGCGCATTGACAGGACGCATTGCTTCTCTGACTACGCTCAGGAGAAAGCTGCGCGAAGGGCGGAGGCGAGGAGGACGGGGGAAGCAATACGCGGCGATCCGTTTTTGTATTCATTGTTTTGTCGATCGTCGCGGGCCCTCGCACCCCCCCTCCCCCCATGGATCAAATCTTGGCTGTTTTTGTTCCCTGTTTCGAACAGGTGGAGTCCCACCCCCATGGGACGCACTGCTGCCGTTTTGCAGAGAAAGCGCAAGACTGCGCAGTGCTTCGGGAACCATCGTAGAACAGTCGGGGCGCTGAAGAAGGAACCCTTTTCGTTTGGGAGGGGCTCCGTGTTCCTTAGTTGTTTTATAATGCTCCTTGGGTCTTCCTGAGGTTTTCCATGGAAAATCTGAGCTTAACGTATGGGAAAAAGGGGCCTCGCTCCTGATTAAGAGTTCCTTGGGTCAACGCCCCAACTGTAGTAGCCTTTGTTTCCAACGAGGTGCGAAGGGGGAGCGAGAGCGAGGGCGAGGCCCCAACCGAGGGGGAAAGGTCGAGGAGCGACAGTGCTGTTCGAAGCGTTTTTTCACTCGCGGACAGAGGTCGGGCCGAACGAAATGCGACGGCTTCACAAGTTTTACTGTCCAAGCTTGCGTTCAGAATTCCAGTCGGCCTCACGCGGTGTGAGCCGAGCATTTCGATCTGCAGAGGGTGTTCAAAGCACATGCGCTCGAGCCCTGCTGACCGGAGTGGAAAAATAGCCGAGGAAAAGTGCAGCTGTCAGACGTCCGATCTGTCACCTCGTCTGTTGCTCATCGAAAGGGGGGGACAGGGAAAGGGGTGGGTTCGAGATCTGTTGCATGCAGCTGGTTTCGGCCCCGCCGCCGGGCCCATCCATCGATACATGGGCGCCTCCGGGCGCCGTGAGGCGCTGGGAAAATCAGCTACGTGAGCTGATTCTCTACGCTACCCTTTGCTATCCCCTCCGTTTCGTTCCCCCCGAAGAGGGCGAACGGCGCTGTTCGAAGCGCACGGCGCCGGCAGCGATTTTTCGACACGCGCAACGCGGAGGGATGTCGCAGATGGCAGGAGGGGCGAATGGGCAGCCAGGTGGAGGCGGGCATAGCAGGCTGGGTAAGGTAGGGGGAGGAGGGATGCGCCGTCATGGCCTCTTCTCATTGCCAATCGGCAGCCAGCCAGTCTGGCGCTCTGACGGGCGGCGAGCGTACAAGCAGCAAAACTTGACCAACCGTGCGCTGCAATGACCCCTCCTGCTTCCCCTCTCGTGGCGGCCGTTCGAGGCGAGCCGGGCACCCGTGGGACGCCCCTGGCGAGGCGCAGCTTCTGGAGAGCATCGCGAGACTGGAAGACCGGCCAGAACCAGCGAAGGCGCCGGCAAGCCTCAAACCGTGAGGGTATCAGGGCGCCAGAGACGGGGGCACAGCAAACGGGGGCACGGGGAACGCCGATTTCCACGTTTGGCTATGCCCCCGTTTAAGGGGCCCTGGGCGCCATAGACGGGGGCACAGTCAACGGGAGCATATGAAAAAGCAAAAGCCCCCGTGTAGCTAAACCCCCGTTTAGGAGGCCCCGAGCGCATAACTGTTGGTGTTGGCCAGCGCACGGGTCTGCGTCGATTAGCTACAACACTGCAGCCAGCGCGTGCGAGAAGGGCTTGCGGTGGCAGCAGGCGGTATCCTTGGTTGGCGAGCTGCGGGAGAGCTGGCTGGAGCCAGACACGATCAGCCACAGCGCTGCAATCGGCGCATGCACAAATTCCGGAGAGTGGCAGCGGGTATTGTCGTTGTTCCGCGAGTCGCGTGAGCTGAACTTGGAACACACGGCCAGTATTTACAGCGGGGCCATTGGCATGTGTGAGCAAGGCGGGCAGTGGCAGCAGAGCTGGCCAGTGCTCCGCGAGCTGTTGGAGAGGGAGTTGAAATTCGACATCTCCGCATGCGTACGCGAAGCAGTGTACAGCCACACAAAAGGGCAAGGGAGCGGGTGATGCTAGTGCACGCGTCATCATTATTCGACGAGTTGTTTCAGGCAGCAGACATTCCCAGCACGAAAGTTGTTTGTCTTGGGCCAGGATCGACGGCTTGAAGTCTTGAGAAGCGCGTATGAGATAACCGCCGTCGGATCCCATGAAGTTTGCGCGGATCCACGTGTGACTTTGGTGTTTGTTTCGGTGTATCCCATTTCCCTCCGCGCGGATCCGATCTCGGATTTGTTGGATCCGTGTTCGGCCTCATGTTTACGGCTGATCCGATGCTTACCCTGTTTAAAGTTTATGTTATTTAATGAAAAATGGGATTCAATGAAAAATAGGATCAGGAAATCGGATCCGCGGACCCCGGAACCCGGCCGTGTTCACATTCCACGCTGGAAAGGGGTTGTGTCATTAATTCCCAAGTCATCATCGCCATGTGCACATCCAGAGGAAATTTCCCGTCCTGCGTTAGTAGCTGAAGGCGAACAGCATGAACATCGAAATCTGCCTCCGCCGCATGCAGGGAAGGCAGGAGGCGGGGTGGGACATCTTGCACGGAGGCGGGGTCGAATCGGAAGTGGCGAGCTCGTCTGGGTTCGGTGGCAGGTTGCGCCCGAAGCTCTGGCGCTTAGCCACAGCACTTCGCCTCGAATTCCTCTCTCTTGCCTCCTCTCTGCTCCCGACTTCTTCGTTCTCCTCTTCGCGCGGACGGGTTTTTTCCCAGAGGCTGGCGCGACGCCCCTGGCGTGCCTCCTCCCTGCACCCCCCCTCCTTTTCTCCCCCAGCTTGCCTCCTCCCTTACCCCTGGTGGCGGGCGCACCTTGTCTGCCTCTGCCTCCTCCTCCTCCTCCTCCTCCTCCTCCTCCTCCTGTTTGCCTCCTCCCCTCTCCGCCCTCCCACCCCCCGGCCGGGGCCCGCCCCCTCCTCGCAGGCGCCGCTGGACCCGGCCCCCGCGCCGCCGCCGCAGCCCGCCCGCCGGGTGCTGCGCGCGGTCGCCCCCTCCCCCCCCCCCGCCGCATTTCCGCCGCACGCGCGCGCCCGCCCCGAGGGAGTGGGGGCCAGGAGGAGGAGGAGGAGCGAGAGGAGGAGGAAGAGGAGGAGGAAGAGGAGGAGGAGGAGGAGGAAGCGGAGGAGGAGGAAGCGGAGGAGGATCGGAGGAGGAGGAGGAGAAAGATCAGGAGGAGGGTCAGAGGCTCAGGAGGAGGAGGAGGAAGAAGAGGATTAGGAGGAGGAGGAGGAGGAGAATCAGAGGGACAGAGGAGCAGAGATCCAGGAGGAGGAGGAGGAGGACGACGAGGATCAGTAGAGGAAAACGGTACCGATACCGGGACCATTCCTTCGTTTTCACCTGTTTGGGCTTCCCGGGAGGCCCTCGTCGCCAAGGCTGGATTCGCGTCAAAAGTCTGGTCAGAACGCACCTTGGGAGACTATCTGGAGGCGGTATTGTAATTATACTTTTGCTTCCCAGGGGAGGAGGAATGGATGAGGGAGGAGACGAGCATGACGAGGAGTAGGAGAATAAGAAGGAGGAAGAGGAGCAGGAAGAGCAGGGGGAGAAAAGATGAGGGCGAGGAGGAGGA